TAGTGCTCTCTGGTTTCGATGATATGAAAAGGTAGTAATGACTAGAACTTCCCCAGAAGAGGCTATAAACAAAGTTTATTTGGTTGTCAGAACCGAACGGAACCGACACCCCATCCTTGATTCGATTGTTTTCTTCTTGATCACGTAAGGGATAATATTCTTCGAATCGAGCACATGCTTCTCTCCCACTTTTGTTTGTCGGAGAAAGGAAACCTAAATCGTTATGTTCATAGTTGAGTTAACCGAAACTATTTAAATTTTTCACTTCCATTCACATTTAAGCCGAGGTCGCTTTGTCCGGTATCGTCCAAACTGCTAAGGATGCTAGCTAGTTTAATAACCCACCATCCACCATTGTGGTACTTGTTTATCCTTGCCCTTTGTTCTTTTCCCATACATATGAACGACACGTGTGAGAATCAGGCTGGTTTTAGATCTGGTCGAGTTTGTACATACCACATCTTCACTCTTCACCAAATTCTGGATCATCAACATTCCTTTCGTAGACCCACCATTTCTGTTCTTTGATCTGAAAGCGGCATTCGACTCAGTCGACTGCGCTGTACTCTGACGCCGCCTCTCCTTAAATGGTGTGCCCGAGAAGTTTGTTTCAGTATTATGCTCCTTTTCTGTTCAACTCTGTCAAAGATTTAATTCTTGAAACAGCCCTATCCTTGTGTTTTATTCCCAAAAGGTGGTGCTGGTCGAGGGGAGTTCTTTACTGCGGAATACAAATTGAAGGTCACTAATTTTGCATGCATAACACGAAAACCTTATCAGAAACATGCCATGGCAACACATCGCAACACATNTTGACTTTTTGCCATTTAGGAAAATATAATGACTTTAGATCAAAAGGACCCAAAGGCAAGAAGAAGATTAATTAATCATACTCAGTCCCACCAAGCCAATTGGACCGAAATTCACTTTAAATGCTACTGTTATACTCCGAAAAGGCGGTGCTGTTCGAGGGGGGTTCTTCATTACACAATACAGATTGAACGTCACTAATTTTGCATGCATAACACGAAAACCTTATCAGAAACATGCCATGGCAACACATCGCAACACATAGAGTGATGGGTAGAGCAGGCAGTGTTTATTCTTCCCGAACATATTACTTGGTCCTTGATGGTCTTGTTCTATTTTTAATCACCGAAGGTTACCGACTACTCACAAGTGAGTAGTATCTCACAATACTTGTGCGAGGATAGCGGTATCGATTTGCTTCCAGGAGGTATACTGTGATCTGGGTATGCAGCCCACATTGTGCTGCTAAGTGAAGATCCAGATGAGTTGTAAGCTGTTCTGAACGGGTTGAGTGCTAGTCTGGCCATGTTAAATGTTACTACGAAATCCTCACTTTAACTGGAGAAGCAATAGAACAAGGCGAAAAATTTTGCTATCTGGGCAGCTGCATCTCACCTAGAGGACGCAGTACGGATGAAGTGTCAGCACGCATAAAAAGGGCTCGATTGACATTTGCCAACTTGGGACGTCTGTGGCACCGTCGCGACATCCGTCTGTCTGCGACGGTTCAAGTGTATGCTGCAGCAGTTCGGCTGGTGTTGGTTTACGGTGCGGAGACTTGGCCATTATGGGAGCAGGACAAAAATAGATTGTCAGTGTTCGAACACCACTGTCCACGTCGCATTACACAAGTTTGGCGGGGCAAGCGGACAAGCAATGCTGAGGCTATTTGCAGTTTTAGGTAATTGCGGTTGCCCATTGGAATACGTGGTCCACTTCCATAGATTGCGTTTGTTGGGCATATGTTGCTCATGCCAAAATATAGTTTGCTACGGCACGCTGTTTGTCGAGGTAGGTAGTAGATGTGAAAATTCCAATTGGTCAAACAAAGACCTGGCATGAGGGTATGAAGACCCTAGCCAGTATATTCGATCATATAAGTGGCGCTAGGCTTCCTGTTGTGAACCCCGGGGTCACCGTAAACGATGGCTAGAGACACTGAGTGATATAAATGTGTCGCAATCGGTGGTGTTCGTGCATCAACTCACTATCCCTAAAGCCTCAGTCTATATGGGTTCTATATCTTTTATTTGACTCCGCTTTCAACATTACAGTCTTCCGCTCTTTTTTATCCAAATTCATTCATGAAACAGCAACCAAAGCTGGCGCTCTAAAGGGCATGTTTAATGGCTGTAAAAGCTCAAACCGCAACTTTCCCAGACAAACAATGTTGATGTTGGGCGCAAGTGCTTCTCTCCTCTCCAGATTTCAGTTAATTTGGTATGTGTTACGCATGTCACCGTATAGGCTTATTCGACGGGTGATCTTTGCTTAGATGGGTGATTCCGGTCACCTTGGATCTCCCACTTAGTAAGATACCTTGGAAACTATGACTGTGTCGTACACAGTGACATCTTGCGCTCGAACATGCGTGGTTAATGGTTTTTCAAACTGAACTGAACTGAATATACTTGCTTATTATATCCTTGTCTTTATACTGCGCTCAGCTTTGAAACTTCCGTTTACTCATTAGTAAGCGAATATATATTCGTTAGATAGCAATCGAAAGTGTCGGACTGGGGATTATGCAAACAGCAAAACGTTCCCGATTAAAACCGCAATAAGCGAGCTTTTCCCGTATCTTTCCTTGAAGTCTGAAACTGTTTTCTTCGTGTTTTTCTCACGTTCTCTGCACTCTTCGTTACTACTCACCATAACTCCCTGAAGCAGTACCTATTCGTTTAGCACTGCGCTCGCTTGACTCACCCAGTGTAACTAATCCAGATAGTATCTTCCTAATCAAGCACACGACTGATTCCTAATGGCTTATCCCATATCCTTCTTACTTTCATTTTATCGTGTTTTGCAGCTACTAGAAAATCATCCACCTCCCGATTAAGGTGTTACTCACTAAACCATAATTACCATCCCGTTTTCTTCACTCGAATGTCATGAAGTTACTAATATCGGAACGATTTTAGATTATTCTGGAACGTTACGCGCTCCACTGCCTCTTTTCTGCTTGTGAATTAGTGGTATGCACGAACATATTTCGATCGGTTTCAACCATATAGTTATATCTAATACTTACCAAACAAGTTGTGCGCGAAGGATCAGCTCGGGGTAGACTTTCTCGAAACAAGGTGGATACCATACAGATCCGCATATCAATGAAAACGATACGAACTACTTCAACACCCAAAGTTTATCTCTGCACAATTTCTTTCTTTTTGACCCACAATCTAATGTTAGGATGGGACCGGTTAATGTTACCATCCAAACTCGTGTTGCCATTAAGTTAGCCATCTGTTTGTTATTTTTCTGTTGTACTGCAGTAATCAACGGTTGTTACGCCCAGTTTTCCCCGACTTTGATGACGATGCCACGGGTGATGAGATTACCCTTTTGGCTACTGTTCCTCCGGAGTCGGCTAAAGCAACTGCTACTGCTTCTGTCAATCATTCACGGGATGTACTGACCNAAATTGAGCATCCCAATTTGATGCAAACCCAACCGGTAACCGTGAATCCGTCACCCGTCCCACCACCTCGTCCATTTAGTGTCACTAGAACGTGTCAGACCGTAAGTTCACACAGTATTTTATGTGAGATAATTATTACAATCAGTTCCACTGCATAATATGTTTGTGGAATGAAACTCAAAGTTGCATCATATTTGCACTGTCATTCTGTTTACTCATGGTAACCACTAACCTAAGCTCTTGGAATTTGGGTGGAAACGCCCTAAGTGCTAGTGAGTCAACCGATAACGAAGACAGGATCCAAAACAAGCTAGTATTGTGAGGCACTACTCGCATTTGTGAGTAGTATATTTTGAATGTGTCAAATATGTGCTTGGCGGGTTCTTACATCTGTCGAAAATGATCAGAACGTCCTGGAGCGAATCGGTATATTCAGAATCGTAACTCTAGACAACATATGTTTTACCGCCGGACTACTCCACCGATTATCCTGTGTGCTTGTCGAAATTATGATTGATCTATCCCAGATGAGACTCTTTGGTCTATGTAACTCAGTTTACCCATACTCGTACCGTTGTTCCACATAAATAACTTTCCTCAATCCCTCACTTTCTTTTGGAACTATAGCACTAGCAACAGACTTGAATCGCTTCACCAGTCTAGTCGCCATTCTGCTATCATTATCTTATATGCTTGGTATTTACTCGGCCTGATAGGTATTCTTTTGTGCGTAGTTTTTGTTAGTCATCACGAGTGATACCTGACATAAAATTTCGGTGGTGTTTAAGTGAACAATATTCGAACTGCTCTGTTTCATAAAACGATCACATGAAACAAGGATTGTTGCCACAAAATAGTGCGAAATGAGAGAAGAAGTAGTTTAGAAATTAGTAGATAAAAAATTAGGGGCATCAGAGTGAATCAGGTCTTGCATTTGTTGACATTTGTTGACATAGTCTGATTTGAATGATTGCCCAAATTTGTGAATTTTTCGACTGCTGACCTTCTGACCCTGTTTGGTGCAGTTGGGAAGGGTTACTGCCCAAAGACTTTTTTGTTGAACACTCAATCGAGGAAGGATTTTTTTCAGGGCTGTATCTCAAGCCGTTGGTTGTTCAAGATCCAATCCTGAGCTAAAGTCACTGAGTAAGCACACTGATCTGTATATCATTCATGCATCGGACCACCCTCTAAAAAGTGTTTGCCGAGTCTAAAGTCGACTCGCAAATGATAGAATTAGCTATCTATATCCCAGGAGGAAGCATTGCACATCCGTTTATCGTATAAATTTAAGGAATTTGTAACAGTGTAATAGTTACCTTGAGTAGACCACGTTCGCAATAGCGAATAAAGTAGGCATCCTTATAAGAAAATAGTTAGAATTATAAACTGGTCACCTTAATAGATTGGCCATAATCTGAATGGAGCATGGAGTAATCGATTTTAAGGCTGAAATTCAAGTCCGGAATCCCCTGTCGTCTCTCATGACTTCCTTACTGTCGCTAATGGCTATTCTTTTTATCGGGTATTTGTCAGTTGCTTTACAGCGTATCGCTTTCTGATCCTTCCCAAAATTGTTTTTTTCGGATTTCGTAGTTGGCATCTAGTTCTGCAACCACAGATTCTTCAAAATCTAATCCTCCGGCTAAGAAGGTGAGTATTTGTGTCGGTTAATATCCAATAGTAGGATCAGACTGGTATCTTGTTTGGGTCTTCCCAAGTTTCATTGATTGTTTTCTGTGCAGACAATTGCTTTTAATAATCATATTTCAAATGACAATTCGTCGTGTGTGTAGCAAATTAAGTGTGAACTGAAAAGCTCGGAAGCACTGGACAGCTGTTTCGACCTGGTTGGGTCTCATCAGCAGTGCGAATCCATCGACCCGACTGGGGATCGAACCCGGGACTTCATGGGCAGAACGCAAGCGTGCTACCCACTACGCCACCGGGCAGCTGATCAGACTGTTTTTCATTTTCCATTTACACGGTATAGCACAACCCATCTTTGAGAGTTTGTTGCGGGCCACGGACCCTGCTCAACTCAGCACTAGCCTCCAGGGTTATGACTCGGTTGGAAACATTCACAACACATTCAGTTCACGCTTCATTTTCTATATTCACGACGAATTGTCATTTGTAATTTAACCAAATCCTCCATTACCCACATGAAATAATCATATTGTTTGACATATTTGATTATCACCTAATTTCTCAAGAATCGAAGGAATTATTGTTGTTTTAGATTATCACTCGTAATTGTGTTTGCATAACCATCCTTCAGACATAATCTTTACAAGCGATCCTTAGTCTACCAAATCATCCCTATGCTCGAGAAGCACCGGACCCCAGCTTCACTTTTTAGCGTTCATCAGTGGTACAGATTCGTGGACTCCTTCGTTGTGTGAACCTGTTAGTGGTCGCTTGAAAGGCA